CATTTACATCAGTCTTTGTCCACGGAAAGCGGCTCGCGTTTCTGTGGTGGTTCAGTCAGCGGCGCAGTGGTGGCTGACGGTTTCGTCTGGGACAAGGAGGCTTGCGCGACGGCGCTGTCGATCCCACTCATATACCGCGCCAACCGTTGCAGACCTGCCGGCATCACGGCATACCAGTTGGCCAGCATCGCAAAGGTGGGCAGGCGGATCACAGCGCCTCTCCCGCTGTCGATCGCGGCCACGATCTCCTGGGCGATGTGGACCGGCTCGAGGACGGGCGCGAAGAAGCGGTTGGGCGTCTGGACCGATCGGAAAAGCGGCGTGGAGATCTGCCCGGGCTCCACGAGGATCATCTTCACCTTGTCATCGTCCCCGGACGCGCGGAGTTCCGCTTCCAGCGTGCGATGCACGGCGCTCAGCCCGGCTTTACTGGCCGAGTAGTCCGCCAGCCCCGCCGCGCACAGCTGGCCCAGAACCGAGCTGACGGTGACGATGGTCCCGCCCGTGGCGGCGGACAGCATCCGCGGCAGGAAGACCTGGTAGGCATGGAAGGCCGCGAGCAGGTTGGTCCGGATGGTTTTCTGGAACGCCTCCGCGGGGAGATCTCGGAGCGGTTGACCGTTGATGCGAGCGGCCGCACAATGCACCAGTACGGTGGGAGTCCCCAGCTAGGAAATAGCAAAAAAAAAGAAGAATAAACATGTCAGCCAACCCCAAAACCATATCCACTCTCGTAGAGCAAGTAGCCCCAACCCCCATCCACCCATGCATTTCACTCCGTTAAAAAAAAGAGAGAGAAAACATACCTCCACCTCCACCCTCCGCACCGTCTCCTCCAACGCCCCGCGATCCCCAACATCACACCGAAAATACTCCACCCCCTCCATCTCCTCCAGCCCCTCCACCTCCTCCTCCCTCTTCACATCCAACACCGCCACACTCACCCCGCGCAGCCCATAGATCCTCGCAATCAACAGCCCCAGCCCGCTCGCCCCGCCCGTGACCACAACCACCTCCTCGCTCAGATCCACGCGCCGGGGCTCCCCGTACGCGACCCGGTCGTTCCCGCTCCGCGCGATACTCAACAGCGAGAGGAATCCCGCGTACGCCGTGGCGACAAGGAACGCCGGCGCGGTGTAGGGCGTGGCCTGGGCGCGGAGGCAGAGGACGAGGATCCAGGCGATGAAGGGGTGGAAGAGGGTGCGCGAGAGGACGGTGAGCAGGAGGTCGAGGGTTATTGCTTGTTGAGCTGGTGGTTGGTGTTGGGTGGAGGCGGGAGGGAGCTTCGGGCTCGGGGTCGGGGTCGGGGTCGGGGTCGTGAGGATACGCTGTGGTTGTGGTGGTGGTTTGGGGTTGGGGTCGGACATTGTTGGTTTCTTATCGTTTTTCTTTCGAGGGGGGTGGTTGCGGTGATGTTTGGGGGAACTTGGGAAGAGCTGGAGACAGGTTTGGGAGGGAATATAATTGCTAGCGTCGCGTGTTCATGTTCGATTGCTGAGATGATGGATGGAAGCGCCGAGGGCTGGGGTTGGGTTGCTTGATTGGTGGGTTAGCTTTGTCGACATGGCTTGGTTGGGGGGGGGGTTGGGATATAGTAGCTGTATGAGATACCTTGAGGTTCAGCTAAGGAGGGTTTGACCGCTGAATGTGGCTGCGACGCGCGCAATTGTAGTCGTGAGAAAATGTAGCAGGCTCCGAGGATGAAAGGTAGGAGAACTGCTGCGCTGCACCTGCAATCGAAATTCAATGGATGGACGGCCGAGAAGCTGGTGGGGCTGCTGTACTTGGTTCATGGACTATTTGGCGGTCGCAAGCTAACTCAGCTCCGTACTCAGTATGAAGACAAGATCTTATCTGCAAGACAATATCGAGGCTTTATCAGACAATTGACTTGCCTCGAATCGTGAACGTGAAATTCTATAACCGAGGTAGTCTACAAGCCATCCTGCGACTTGCCGCGACAGTCACTCAGGAATATACTCCGCACTGTACATTGTACCTATTTCGATCCTCACCCACCCAGCTTACACCATGCCGCCCCCAACTCTGAAACCGGTGCCAATAATCGAGAACGTCCGTCTACCCGGATCAGACTCAACCTGGGACATCTCCATTGACAACGACCAAGGCATTATCCAATCGATCACCCCGCACAAGGGCGAGTCCGATACCGCAGCTTCCCGCGCACCTCTCGCCCTCCCCGCATTGACGCACCCGCACATCCACCTCGACAAGGCCTACATCCACAACGCACCCGAGTATGCGCATCTCCTCCCCTTCAGTGGCTCGTTCGCCGAAGCGCTATCCTTCACCACCCATGCCAAGCGAAAGTTCACCCGAGCCGATCTCCTGAAGCGTGGAGAATGGCTCCTGGCGGGGGCCGTCACCGCGGGGGTCACGGCGATGCGCGCGTTTGTGGAAGTGGACCAGACGGTCGGGTTCACTTGTCTAGATGCCGGCGCCACTCTCAAGGAGACGTGGAAAAACGCCTGTACGGTCCAGCTAGTGAGCTTCGCACAAGATCCCATATTCTCGGGCGAGCATGGCGACGAGAACCGACGGCTGATGGAAGAGGCAATCCGACGGCCGCAGGTGGATGTGATTGGTACAACACCGTATGTGGAATCGACCGTTGAAGCTGCGAAGCAGAACATCGAATGGGCTGTTGAACGCGGTCTGGAACACGACAAGCATGTGGACTTTCACCTCGATTACAACCTCGACCCCGCAACAGAGGCCCTAGTCTGGTTTGTCGTGCGGACACTCCGAGAAAAGGGCTGGTCAGCCCAGTCGACGCCCAAGCGGGTCATGCTAGGGCATTGTACGCGGCTCACCCTGTTCACCCATGACGAGTGGACGAGACTTGCGAAAGAGATCAAGGACCATGATCTTCCTGTCAGCTTCGTTGGGCTGCCCACGAGCGATCTATATATGGCGTCTCCTCCGAGCAGGGGTAGTGCAGACCAACCGCGAGGGACTCTGCCCGTAGTGGACATGATTGACAAGCATGATTTGGACGCTGTGATCGGAATCAATAATGTCGGCAACGCGTTCACGCCGTGGGGCTCCGAGGACCCGCTGTCGTTGGCTTGCCTGGGGGTGGGGATCTATCAGGCTGGAACCCAGGCGCATGCTGAACGTCTGTATGAATGTGTCTCGACACGCGCTCGTGCAGCAATCGGGTTGTCGCCATATGACACCGGCCTTGAGTTGAAATTTGGCAGCTGTGCGGATATCCTGCTGTTCCACGAAGTCGATGAAACAGGCTGTGGCGCGGCGAGACCTCGGCATGGCATCGCAGGCATTATTTGGGACCCACCTGCGAAGATGAGCAGACGTGTGATATCGAGTGGTCGGCTGAATGTTTCTTCGCCTTCCTTCTAATATCCCACATCATGTATCGTGTGCCACACTGAAGGTCCTGCAGGAAGGAATTTGCCTCACTTGAGTAGAAATGAGGTATCTCCAGTTGTAAAAGTGAAGGCAAACAAGCACCAGCGAAGCCTGACAATCATGAATCGGGCTGCATTGAGTGAAACGCACGCACTCTATTCCCAAGGTCTTGTTCTCAACCGAAGAGCAAATCTAGTAAATCTATCAGAGAATGTTGATCGTACACAGAAGGCGGAGAATGAAAAGCCTAATGAGAGTAATACACATAGAGACCATCTTCACGAGCCCCATATTGGCACGTTCTGTTTCATCTGGGCTCGGATTCGAGCAGGCCCATGCAGTGAATAGCTGAACGTTGGACAAGCAGGATCCTCGCTGAGGATATCCAAGTCATCCAGCCCAACAGGCAGCCGGAAGCCGTTGCCTGCGCGTGGATACAGACGATGCTCTTGAAACTCATACTCTGGCTCTTCATCAGAAGACTCTTCATATCTCCTTCGAGAAGATGAAGCAGTCAAGACATCCGGTGCAGATGCGGTTGGTGGTCTAGCTGATTCTTCCGAAGTGGTTGCAGATGCTTCCAGGCCGTTTGTCTGCGGAACAGTCCCTTGGATGGAGGTAGAAGTACTCGTCACTGCTGACGAGCCAGGACGAACTGAGAAGTTTGATGACTGGCAGTCCTTCAGATTAGCGGGGAACATTGGCAGGTTTTCATTGCCTTCCGATATGTTCATAAGAAGCTCAACAAGTGTTGCATGCGACAATCCCGATAGAAACCCTCGCCGTTCCTCGACCGAGTAGCTCCCCGCGCTTACCTCAGTCCGAGGCACTGTCAAGGAAGAAGTCGGATTAGGGGTGGGCTGTGTTTTCGCAAGGAACGGATTGCTCCTGACAACAGTTGGCTGAACAATGGTAATTGGCACAGGCTTGCATTCTCCACAGAACCATTCTTTCTCTTGGACGGTAACAGCCTCTACACTGATGGGAGGATCATGACATAACTGGTGCCAGGCCCCATTGCATTCATCGCAGAATACAATCGCGTTGCTCAGAGGGCTATAACCTCTCTGGCAGCGGGTACAAATGATGTTCACATCCTTCGCTTTGCGTTGAACGCGCTTACGTTTCCGACTTGCTGCCGCCGTAGAGCCACGCGTGTTGTCCGACGTCTCCAGTGAGTTGCTTGTCTCTTTGGAAGCAGCCGGCAACGAAGGCGGAGGCACATACAAGGAAGGTCGGTTGACCTGTCGGCCAGACTTAGTCTGGGTTGCTGTCGGCGCAACATCGGATTCGTCGCTGCTAGAATCACCGGCCCGAATGACGCTCTCGTCGTCACTGTCCTTGTTGCGGCGGCGCTTCTTGTTCTTGGCCCCATTCGTGATACTCTTCCTATTACGAGAGCCTCCTGCCGTGGGCTTTTTAGACTTAGAGATTGAGCTTGCTGTAGACGAAGGTTTGGCCGTCGAGACGGTAGTCTGAGGCTGTAATGGTGGTAACGGTACCACCGCCGGTGGTGGTGGTGGTGGTGGTGGTGGTGCTGCTGCTGCTGCTGCCGCCGCCGGCGGCGGCGGCGGCGGCGCTAATACAGGGCCAATAGATGATACTTCAGATAATCCATTTGCGGGTGCGTTTGGAGGCACTGGCGATGGTTTCGGTGCAATATTGACCAGGCCTCCAGGAGGATCCACAGGAGACCTCCGGGTAACAGTGCTCGGGGAAGCCGCAGGTGGCACCGCATTGTTCGCATACGTGAAGGGTGCCGTGGGCAATTCGATGATAGTCGAAGAGGCCCTCATAGCGCCTGTCCGAGAACCATTCAAGTTATTTCCAACAAATCGATTTCCAGTTGGAGGGTTCCAACCGAGGAATTTATTATCATATCTCTGCTGTGTGCCCTTTAGACTTCCAGTGACTCGTGCGAGCAACTCGGTTGTGGCCGCTGAAAGCCGCGGTATCTCCACCCTTCTCGACGGCGTACTCGACGATCGGGTCGTATTCGACGAGGACAATGCTGAGGATGAATCAGCGATGGGCTGAAGTGAGGGTGCTGATGAAAGCGAACCCGAAGTGGTGGTGGTGGTGGTAGTGCGCAGAAATGCGTGGGTGGGTGGCGCTGTCTCTATAGACGCCAGAGAGGCAGAAACCCCATTTTGCTGTGACATATCCCCCCAGATCTGCCCTGTTGAGCACACTCACGCTGCAACGGCAAGGTGCTCGCTAATGAGCCCGAGATATGTATCAATGCTGCCACGGGTAAAACAGGAAAAGACCATCTTGAACGGATCCAGATTTATATACTATCACGTGATCGATAGGAATTCATCCCCGCGCCCTTGGAAGGCACTGCCTGACTGCTTTCGGTGCCAACCCATATCCTATAATACAATTCCTGCAATATCTCCAGCCACCAGGTTATTTTGACGGCATTGGCATCTAGCTGTGATTGCGTTTCTAAGGCTTTGCGAAGCTACATCCCAGTGCGGTTCAGCCGACAGGTGCACGAAAACTAACCATGTATTCGGTAGAGACGAACCCTCCTTACGGACCACACACACTCCACCCTTATCACCTTAGGAATAATCTACCACTAGCCCACCGAGGCTATGTATTGAATTACAACACGTCTATGCCACTACACCTTCCTGCTTCAACTGAGCTATCTCCTCCTTCCCATACTCGAGTACTTCTGCCAAAATCTCGTCGGTGTGCTGCCCGAGGGTCGGAGGCGGCGTCCGAACACCAGGGGTTGCATGGGAATATTTGATCGGTGTGTTCACCAGCTTGATGGGTCCGCAGGCTGGATGATCAACTTCAGTGACCATACCCCGTGCTTGGACTATATCCCAGAGTTAGAGTCGTCGTGTCAGGAGAACAAGCGCTTGGGAGAAAATGGTCTCACCATGAGCATGATTTAGTGTTCCTTGGATGTCGTTGACTGCGGCATACGGCATCCCGCTCCCTTCCAATATCTCCAGCCATTCCTGCGTCGTCTTTTGTCTCACTCTTTGCTGAATCAACCCATCAATCTCCTCGCGGTGTTTCACTCGGTCGCTATTGGTGACAAACCGGGGATCGGTCTTCCATTCCGGATAACCTAGCCGGTCGCATAACACGCCGAACAATCTGTCGTTCCCGCCGCCAAAGAGGATATCGCCGTCACGCGTTTTGTAACTTCGGTAGGGCACAATGGATGCTTTGCAATGCGGGGGTCAGTAAGCCCGCACAATCCAGGTCGAACTGCTTCGCGGCGAACACTTACGATGTGCCGTCCCCCACCGGCCAGAGTCCTTCTTCCCACTGATCAGCGCCGAGCTTGCAATATTTGCCAAAGTCGCGACCTGACAATCGCTCAGGCATGCATCGATATGCTGCCCCTTCCCCGTCCGCCCTCGAGCAATCAATGCCGCCATGATGGCATTAGACGTGTAAAGACCAGTGGTTAAATCCGTCACAGCTACGCCGACCTTGACCGGCTCCCCCTCCCTACTACCAGTGATGTGCATCAGGCCCATCTCGGCCTCGACCATGACATCGTACCCGGCGCGGTTGCTGTATGGCCCCGTCTGGCCGTAGCCGGTGATACTGGCGTAGATGAGTCGGGGGTTGATAGCTTTCAGGGTCTCGTAATCCATGTTGTACTTCTTGAGGCTACCAGGAAGATAGTTCTCCACTAACACGTCGCACTCTATGGCCAGACGATGTAGAATCTCCACTCCGGATTTATGAGCAAAGGATAAGCCGAGAGATTTCTTGTTGCGGTTTACCTGAGCCAAATGTTAGTTGCTTGACTTCCAGAAATATTTTCTGGCGGGCTACCTTACTCCCAAGTAGTAGGCGCTCTCTCCGGGCCCTTCTGACCCGTCAGTGTACTTGGCGTATGGTGGTCCCCAAGCACGAGTGTCATCACCGCGTGTTGGGTGTTCTACCTTAATAACATCTGCTCTGTAGAAGACCACATATGGTCAGTATTGTATGTGCCATGAAGTATCAAAGTAGCAGCAGCATACCCCAGGTCTCCCAGGATTTGTGTACAGTATGGCTGCATGGGATGTCAACACAAGCCTGTGGATGGTCAATTGCATGATACTCACGCCAGCCAGAACTCTCGTCATATCTAGGACTCTAATACCTTTCAAAGGCAGGGTATCATCTGAAAGTGCAGTAGAATAACTGCGCCATGATCGATTGCTCCTTGATAGATAGAGGTGTGTATGGTTGAGCGGCCGGCGCGCAATGAAGGCCCGCGGCACCTTCGAGGAGACTATAGGATTCATTCTCAATGGTTAGGGAGGAGATAACAACTTCCTGTATCGAATTTGAAGGGTCAAGATGAATGTATTCAAAGACTTTGGAGATCATAAAAGACCAGCAGAAGCAAGGAACCGAACAAGAACCGTACAGTACAACTTCCAACTATCGGCGGCCATCACCGAGCGGCGGCGCGGGATCGGCCCCCAAGCCGAGGTCAACCGCTTTCCCGCTTCGCGACTTCCTCTCTGTGATCTTCAATTCCGCTCGATCCGCCCGCTTCGGTTTGTTTGATTCTGTCTACTCCCTGCTATTCTGTCACCATGTTCACGGGTCTTGTTGAGAAGATTGGAAGTCAGTTTTCTGTCTCCTGTACTGCCCCGTTCTACAACTGACTATTGTGCCCTCACTTTCTTAGCGGTCTCGTCCCTCGAGCCCCTCGATACCTCGTCAAGCGGGGGCGGGGGAACATCGCTGACCATTACCGATTGTGAGGAGATCCTCGTCGATGCGCATCTCGGCGATAGCATAGCTGTCAATGGTACATGACAACCCCCCCCCCCCATCTCTCCTCCACGACCATCATCATCATCATCACCACCGAGCCTTTCTCTTCCTGTGCGAATTCCTCTTCCTCCCCTATCCCCTCTTCGCTCCGTCAAAACACATCCATCCCCCCACCACCGCCCTAGCTAGTCGCAACCCCCTTTCCCCCACCGCGGGGCACTGAACACATCAACACAAAAAGAAAACTGCACAGAAAAAAGCTAGACTCACACAAAACCCCCTGGGGAAAATAAAACAGGAACATGCCTCACGGTCACGGCCTTCGATAAGACATGGTTCAAGGTGGGCGTCGCGCCGGAGACCCTGCGGCGCACGAACCTGGGCACCCTGCAGACGGGGTCGAAGGTGAACCTGGAGCGGGCGGTGCTGGGCGAGACGCGGATGGGCGGGCACTTCGTGCAGGGCCACGTCGACACGATCGCGCAGATCCTGTCCGTCACGCCGGACAGCAACGCGCTCGTGTTCCGCTTCCAGCCGCGCGACCAGGGGGTCATGCGCTACATCGTCGAGAAGGGCTACGTCACGCTGGACGGCGCCAGCCTGACGGTCACCAAGGTCGTGGACGGCGCCGAGGGCTACTTCGAGGTCATGCTCATCGCCTACACCCAGGAGAAGATCGTCACGGCGGCCAAGACGCCCGGCGACTACGTCAACGTCGAGATCGATATCGTGGGCAAGTACGTCGAGAAGAGCGTGCAGGCGTACTTTGCTGGTTCGGCTGCGTCGGCGGGGGCTGATTTCAGCATGCTGGAGAAGATGGTGTCTCGCATCGTGGATGAGAAGTTGAAGCGGTGATTTTTCTCGGTGATATGAATGTACAAAAAGGAAAACAAAAAGTATCTAGTGAATCGATGATGGTTTATGAGCTTACGCAGTTGTTGATATGGCCCAAAAAGATTGATAATGTTTTTTACTTCGTCCAGGGCTCTTGCTGCATGTGCAACCAGAAATCGTGGGTATAATTTTGAAACTCCTAACAAACCATAGGATACATAACTTTTTCCTTTCCATCAAACAAATAATGAATGGTTATACTGGCGTCCGACGTACGGACGAATTGAGTTGCTTCCCATCGATCTTTCCATATCTCCATCACAGCGACCACATATATCGAACGCTGCATAGTGTATGACACCTCATGTGCACCATACTGGGAACACGGCCACGAGCATTTGACCTGATGCAACGCGCTCGAATTGACTGCATAGTTTCATTGGCACGTCGCAGACGTGTCGGAAGCTATCCGGCGTGATGAAGGCAAGGGCGTAAAAGGGACTGGTATGCCTGGGAAGGGCCGTGAGGCAGCCAATATTCGTGATGGCTGACGACTCAAAGGAATATCGCATTTATGGATGGCGAGGGAGGTTTACTCATCCATAGACTCGTCGCCCTCCTCCTCTTCTTCTTCCTCCTCCTCCTCCTCTTCCTCGTCGTCCTCATCCTGCACCACATTCTCGTCATCCTCGTCGAAATCGTCGCTGAGCCAGTCTTCGTCGCTCATGTCGACGTCCTCGTCGTCATCATCTTCAACCTCCTTGCCATTGGCCTTAGCTTTAGCCTTCTCGGCCTTCTTCTTCTCAATGTTCTCCCTCTGCTGCTTCTTTCTCTCCTCCTTCTCCTTCTTCTTCTTGTCCCAATTCTTGTCCAGCTTGTTGACTTCCTCCTCAGACTTCGAGATGAAGTCGTGCCACATGACTCGGCCCTCACACAAGCCCTCCTCAACCTTTTGCAACCGGAGTTTCATGCGCGGGCCCAGCTCAACCAGCTTGACCGCCCGCTTCTCGACCCCGGGGCCGTTGCTCAACTTCTTCTGTGCCTTCTCCTTGTCGCCAGCCTTCATCCGCTGCAGTTCACGTTTCGTGAGAACCTTCCGGGTGGTGCTCTCTGCAATCTCCACCTCCGCATCCGTGTCCATCTCAGTTTCACTAGCAGACGTGTAGCCCGCCGCCGAGGGATCGAGCAGGTAGTCTGCGGCATCCTCGAGCTTTCCGAGGTTCGGCACGGCGGTCTTCTTCTTCTCCTTGTTCCGGATTTCCTTGGGGTCGAGGCGGCGGATGCGCTTCGAGATACCGGTCTTCTTCGTCGTGATGGCATAGTGTCTGAGGTTGAGGACATAGGAGTCCTGTTCTTCGCCTTCGGGGGCGAGCTCACGGTTCAAGAGCATGACACGACGGATGGAGGTGAGAGGGGTGGCTTGGGGGTTGATCGGAGGGAAGAGCGATTGGAAAATGGTTGTGGTCAGGCTCTCGAGGCGCTTCGGCACTTTGGAGTTCTCGTCGGCGCCGGGGGAGTTGAAGTTGTTCATCACGAGCAGCGGAGGTGTCTTGTGGTCCTGGCCACCGCCGCGCGGGCGCTTCAACGACTTCTCGACGTCTCTGCACAAGGAATAGTTCTCCACCTTGAAATGCAGGGTCGGCCCTCGCGGTGTGAGCGCCAACCGCAGGTTTGTGTTGCCCGTGGCGGATTTAGAGAAAAGAAGAAGATGGGTTACACCCAGAGGACCGGTCATTGTGGTGAAATCCCGAAGTCTGTTCGATTTGCGTTCCTGGTGACAGTTAGAAAAAAAAAACAAGGCAATATTGCGCAATCCCCTGGCATCGTCTGCGAAAAGTCGACCGATTGTTGACATACCTTCAAGCGTACAGCCGTATCGGGCTCAAGCATCGTCCGCACATCTTTGACCAGCTGACTGACACTGGAACCGACCTGTGTAGCGCCAACTCGAATGACCATCGACTTGGGAGTTTTGCTCATAGACGAGGCGCCGCCTTTGGCAGCAGCCGTGGCATTTGTCGCGCGAACATGGGTGCGCTTCTTGGTGCGTGCCTTCGCCATGGTGAAAAATGGTGTAAAATGAGAATTACGGGGAAATAACCACGAAGGATGGATCTTTACCCCCGGATGTCTGGATCAGAAGTAGGACTTTTTCTTGACCCGCAGAAAAACTAAAGGCGGAGCAAAGCCGCGGAGGAGCCCGGATCAATGATTTTGCGGCGCCCAGTATCATTCGAGCCTGCCTTAGTCCAGAACATATCAGTGCAGTTTGATGAACAAACCACTGAACAACATATCTTCCATTTCAATCGCAGTCCGGTTCATCCTGGCCTTTTTAATACCGCCTGATTGTATCACTGAGACACAGGGGCGGGTAGTGCTGTGAAGGACACAGACAAGGAAGAATGCAACGAGAATGAGAATAGGCTATAGAGGAACGCAATCTTTTGCTGAAATAGATACTAAAAACAGGTTAGAGCATTCTTGATTATTATGGATCAAGCAAAGGCGTGGTAACGAGCCTGCGTGATACAATGCTTCGGTTAATTAGCGCCCTGCTTAAATAAACAGCAGGCCATCACGTGGTAATTACTGGGACAGGTTACAAGAGGTAGAGAAACATCGTGGAATTTATCGTGACGCAAAAAGATAAGATATTCTTAAACATAGATACCCATGTTGGTGTCCTTCTTCTTCGCCTGTACTTCCGAGATGGCATCGACGTAGTTCTCGTGTCCCACCTTACTCATGCCCTTACGAAGAGCAATCATACCAGCTTCCACACATACAGCCTTCAACTGAGCACCTCCAAATTCATCGGTACTGCGAGCCAGTTCCGCCCAGTTGACCCCATCATCCACGGCCATCTTGCGGGAGTGAATCTGTAGAATATTGGCGCGAGCCTCTTCGTTGGGCAGGGGGAACTCGATCTTGCGGTCCAGACGACCGGAGCGGAGCAAGGCCGGATCCAGCACGTCAATGCGGTTCGTGGCCGCGAGGACCTTGATACGATCATCGGAGGCGAAACCGTCGAGCTGGTTGAGAAGCTCCAACATGGTTCGTTGCACTTCACGGTCACCGGACTTCTCGGAGTCGAAACGCTTGGTACCGACGGCATCCAGCTCGTCAATGAAAATGATCGAGGGGGCCTTCTCCTTAGCGAGGGCAAAGCAGTCACGAACAAGCTTAGCACCGTCACCGATGAACATCTGTACCAGCTGAGGACCGGCAAGCTTCAAGAATGTGGCATTCGTCTCTGCGGCGCAGGCTCGGGCAAGAAGGGTTTTACCGGTACCGGGGGGTCCGTACATCAGAGCACCTGGCACCAAGTTAGTACGCCATAACTTCCAGCCCATCGGATTTCACGAATCACATACCCTTCGGTGCCTTGATACCGAGCTTCTTGAACCGATCGGCTTCCTTCATCGGCCAAACGATAGCCTCGACAATCTCCTCGATCTGCTTGTCCAAACCACCAATGTCCGTGTACTTCTCCGTCGGCTTCTCGTCAACCTCCATGGCCTTGACCCGGTTGTCATACTCGGCTGGTAGTGTGTCCAAGACAAGGTATGAGTCTTTGTTGACACCAATGAGATCGCCGGGCTTGAGCTTCTCGTGGTCCACAAGACCGATCAACGGCAAATAGATGGTTTGACGGGTAGAGGTCTTGATGACAGCGGACTTGCCGACACGGGTAGCATCGAGATCAATATTAGCTCCTTCCTCGGCGGCTTCAGCTTCGACATCAAGATCTAAAAGCTCAACAACGTTTCCGACAAGGTAGGGTAGTTGCCTGGGAGATGATTTGTGGTCAGCAGGAAGGCCTGGGTAGGGAACCGCCATCGCCACGAGTCGGCGCACACAGTAGGCGAACCGATAGCGACGTCGAGGGCAACATACCGGTTGTTCTCAATCTTCTCTTGGTTATCTTTGACCTTCTCCCTCATCGTGTTCTGTTCGTGTGTCAACCGCTGGTATTCGCTCTTCATTATACGCAGTTCGTTCTCCAGCATTCGCCGCCTCTTAACGATATCCGCTGTGCTGGAAGAGAGAATCTCCTCATCGAGAAGTTCATCCTCCTCCTCTTTCTTCTTGGCATCAGCATCGTTCATATCAGCATCTCCGTCGCCATCGGGCTTTCGGTCGCCGCCATCGCCCTGATCCTTCTTCTTCTCTCTCTCTTCACGCTCGAGGTCGTCAAGGTCTTCCAAGGTAGACATGGTGGCAGGATTAAGTGGGAATTACAATGAAAGAATAAATTATGTTTAAACCAACTTGGTAGGTATAGAGGAGAAAGAAGGCAAAGGGAGAGTGAGAATGGGGGAGATGGGGAACTGAGAGCTGCGTTGGAGCCGGCTTGCTCTGAGCTTCGGCCAAACAACGTCAGCCGTCCTGCCTATATCACGTGATGCTATTACAAATGACCCGGCCTCCGACCGCTAGGTAATGACTCCGTTTCTCAAGTAAATTAGTGCTACTCCGTACTGATGTAGAGTATCTGGGACTTCACTTATGGTATATAATGGTGATTATCCTTCGATTCGCACCCTACATGCCAGCTTCACAGTGGGTGTAGGAGGCACCCGACCACACTTACATCATTGCGTCTACTGCTTTGCACTTTCACTCGCCTCTGCAACGGAGCATGCTTTTTCTCGCTCACTCACTATCGCTTGCTATGAACACACCATCCAAGCATGATCTATGTACAGTATCTGAGCACGACCAGCATTCGCATGCCTATCATATCAGAAAGTTCGGGTTGCCTTCTTTGTGGCCCTTACCATGCCAGTTACCGAGATTATTTAGGACGTGTTCTCGGCCGAACTTGAGAAGACGATATTGAGAAAGGAAATCGTCGTTATTAACTATCATGAGTCAGCAGATGTACTCAGACTTCGGATTGAAGACGGTATGAAGCAGTCATCGAAGCAAGAGCACTTACTATAACCACCACACATTCTCCGCTTTCCGGTGAATTTCGAACGTCCGTGGAGCATTCTCCAATTATCGAAGACTTCAGTCGGTCAGCTAGGGGTTTCCAAACACCACCATGAATCAACTACTCGGCACTTACTTAGAGCGGTTCCCGGTTCGAGTTGTGTCCAGATCTGGAATTTCTCGCGGCTGATAATCTCGTTCCAGTGTCGCGCCGCAGTGTACCACTGCTTCAAGTCTTTGATCCCCCAATTCGTCTTCGGTGCTCTGTCATAATTGTTCCAACGGATCCGGTACAGCTGGTCTAATTGCGGGTGAAGTTCGAGCACCGGAAATTCGTGTATAGGTTGTATGCAGACATTCTCGTTACCACTGGCATGAGCAGGCTGGCTTTGGCGCATTAGCGAGGCGTAGTGCGATTTTTTCTCCTTCTGCAGCGTTTCGGCTGCTCGAAAGCCATCAACTAGCAGGCTAGCGCCCCCTTTCCCGTCCGTATGAGACAAAAGGTGGAACAATTGGAGTCTCGCAGGATCCGTAAAGTATGTAGTATCAGTGTGTGCACCGAGACCTTCGCTTGTATACGCAGAGTCACCAAAACTCATATCAGACGTGAAATCCCAGAAACCCCCTGGAATGAATTAGCATTGTCGTAGATCAAGGGTACTGTAAGAGCTTATAACGTTGTTTTCATACCATAATGCGTAGGCCTGATGAAAGCGATTCTCTCGAGAAGCTTCTCAGTGTCCCGAGTCGTCACGGGAACACCTATGACGAAACAAAACCCGTAGATATACTACCCAAGATCAGTGATCAAGTAGCAGATCGTGGAGTGGGAATGGGACTCACAATCTTATCAAGCCACTGCAATAATCCCTTGTCGTCCTGCATAACATCGTCATATAAAACCGTGGGATATGGCCCAGTTCCCGTGAATGGATGGTAAGGCCTGGAAACAGGTATGGTAAGTTCCCATTGCAGCGTGCATCTCATCCGTGTTTGCAGTACCTGGGTTTGGCTGTATGGTCGGCCCGAAGCACACTATTCGGCTTTTTAGTACCATTGGCTTTGAGCCAGGCATATTTATAGAACCCCATATGTCCATCCGAAACTTCTTGTCTTTTAGCCTCGGCATGACTTGAGAGAGAGCGAATATACACTTACATTCCACTTTGAGACCTTGCGGTGCATAGATGACCTTCTTGATAATTATGTCTGAAGGAATCTAGGGAACAGCAGAAGCAAGAGGGCATATATCAGCAGAATACTTCGCATGTTCGGAATTTGCTCACATACCGCAAACGTGTCTACCTCCCGTTGTCGGGTTTGAGGGTGATGACATTTGTCACACTGACAGTTGTCTCTATCATAGAGCAATACTCAAAAATAAGTCTCGATGTGATGGGCACTGACCATAAAGCGACTTACCGTAGCCAGAATGGTCCTCTGCAAAACAGTGTTAGCTGTCTCGGCCCTTCATGCGTATGGAAGGCAGCTGATAGTGAAAAATGCTTACAGTTTCTTGAAGACGTCCTTTGAAAACTGTTGAGCTGATTTATGGTCAGGTTTGACTGTCTTGTTCACAGTCCTGGCTAAATTGATAGTTGCATCAGCTTCCAGTTGCCGGTGATATCAAGGCCCATGGTGTGGCGCTCGGGAGGGAGGCGTATTACATTGCCCTGTAAAGAGTGGTCTTGTGCTCTACGAGGGAGACATTCAGCTTAAATGAACGGTGTCAGGTACCAGTTCAACTCAGGTGGAAACACACACCGAAACAGCATAGGTCCATTGAGAGCAAGGCACCACGTTTGCGCGCCTATATCAATCATGAGCATTCGTTGTGGCAGCTCGGAGAATGATCTTTACCTGAAGGGGCTTAAAGGGGCGAGCGCCCGACAAAGAAAACGCCTCCCTACAGCACTCATCTCAACTCTTTAGGCACCAAATCTGCGACTTAAACAATGCTTTCCCGTTTCGCGTGACGGAGAATATCAATCTCTATATCCCGGAAATCAGTGGACGACCGAAGTTCTATGTCACGTGTGTAGTCCGAAAAACCGAGGTAGAAGCGCCGACCCCGCAAATCGGCCCACCTTTAAGCTGTTGCTCTAATTTATGCTTAACAAATTTGAGACTTTTACTCTAGCTAAGTTAAACCTCTAGACTGAGTCACACTCATATGTGCTTGCGAAATATATCAATTTGCGATCTAACGATCTACTTATATGGAAAACGATGCTTTCTAGTTAACCTATAGATAATGCAACTACAGCTTGGCCTTCGAGTCGGTAGCTTTCAAGAGACAACGCCCATTGCTGAGTACCACCTTGCCCTTGTCGTTTCTCACGATAAAACGAATCTCTTCATCGCCGCCTTCCAGCCTGCCCATCCGCCAGATCTCAGTAGTAAGCTTGTCGCCTGGTTTTACTGGAGAGGCAAAGCGCGCTTGGAAGTCTTTCAGGTTTTCTGGATCGCTCTGTCCAATCTCTCTCAATACACCATGGGCTGCAGCGTTCCAGCTGAAGAGTCCATGGATGATGGTGCCACCGAAACCCATCTTTGCACCCGGCTCGGGAGTTGCATGGAGAGGGTTATAGTCACCATTGAGCCTGTCTAGTGTGTTAGAACTCTATAGGAGAAACCAAGTCGTAGAGATATCCAGAGATCTTACCGATATAAGAGAGCCGTCTCTGGCGTCGTCTGAATCACATGGGTGGCGTCAGGACTTTTACCCTCCGGAGGGGGGTGATTCACCGTGCTTGGGCCTATAACAAACAAGTTAGGCAAACTTCATGGGTTTAGTCCTGAGACCGGACAAAGCACCTACCCTTTGGACCTCCCCAGCCACCCTGCCCGACAAAAAAGCTGCTGCTCAGGATCTTAGTATAGATGTCTCCAGTGGCCTGGTTGACAATCGACTGTTCTGTCTCCAGCACAGTCCCGGCCTTGCCCTTGTCATAAAGTCCAACGACCTTGTTGCGCAGCTCGAATTTCCGACCGGCACTGGATGTTGGGAGAGGCTTCAGAGCGATGATTCGCCGCTGACCATCCACAACACGGCGGTAGTCGAGCTTGGGAGCTCCGGGAATCGGGGCACCGCCTGCCCGAGCATAGAAGTCAATCACTTCCTGATCGGTGAGCTTAAAAGCTGTATGAAGTAAAACATCTTAGTGGCCGTTGAATCCTGAGCTGAGAGACTCGTACATACGAAGGATAACCGGGTAGGTTGGAAAGACCGCGAATCTGGGGTGAAGTTCCTGCGCCGCGTTTCTTTTAGCACACGTCGGAATGGGGCATTGTGCAGGCAATCCAACATACATAAAGGAAGTGAAGTTCATCAGCTTTGCACCCAATGCTGTTGGCAAACAAGAGAATGTCGCGCTTCTGCCAGGAGACTTCCTGGGGAGCAAACTCGTGACCAGCTCCGGGAGCAGACATCTCAGCGAGTGACAATGTAGATAGTCGACTGCGTATGTGTGGTATTCGATCGGCGATGGAAGATTGTGTCTATGCGCTATGCGATATTTCTGGAAGCGGATTTGAGTTACTTGGGTAATGGGTAATGCAGGGCTGATTAGGCCTTGATTTTCACAGGAGTCTGGGACGGTAGGCTATGCTTTTGTACCCCGGACAGAACAGCGCTCCGTTGCGGGGCCGCAAACAAGCCGAGGCTAATGTAATCTGGACATCGTAATAACAGCGCCACGGTCGGTGAGGCGCTAGATTGATCTATAAGCTCAAGGCTCAGAGAGAGATATACAAAGCATTACAACAACTGTCAATGTTTTAGCCCGTAAAAACTTGGGGATATCCAGATGGGGCTGAAGCTAAACAATATGAGGAGATCGTCAAGAGATGATAAGATTGAGCATCGACTCGGGGTATCTACTTGGGAATTTCGAGGAGCTTCATAATCGTCCTTGGAAACCATCTCTCCGTGTCGCGCCAAATAATGATGCCGTTTCCTGCCTTCCAATAAAACGCCGGAACATAACGGAAATGAAATGGCATAAACAAACAAAGCAAGTCATGAAAACCTATTCATCGACCCAACGTCATGCAAGTGTACTTTCTTTCAAATGCCATGCAACCCAAGGGTAAATAGTATCGAGGGTACTGACAGAATACCAGAACAAGGAATCCGGTCAGAGAGATCAGTGTACCGACCCAGTGATGGATCATTTTGGTGATGCGGATTTCAACGCCTCAATTTAGCACCTTCAATAATTAGCTTCCTGATTGGCTCGATGATGCTGACTAGTGAGTGCACTTACATTCTGTAGAAGCAGCCACCCTCGGCGGTGCGGTTCTGGTCCGTAGTCTCCAGCTTGTAGGTGATGCTGATATCAAGGTCGCGCTTGTTCTTATCGTTGGGCTTGTTCTCGAGCATACCAGACACAACTTCCTCTTCCTCAACGGTGAGGACATCCCGCAGATAGAAAACGGTCTGCTTCCAGTGGGTGTACTTGGCATGGGGGCCAGTAGAGAAGAGGATTGGCTTGTGGCAAGCGCCAAATTCGATATCGAACCAGGCGATAACGGCATGGACGAAATCGCTGCGCTTGATAGTGAGCGAGTAGGGTACCTTGAATGCAAGATCTTCCTTGGTGACAGTGTAGAGATCGAATGAAATGATGGGGCAAGGGTCAGAGACAAGTGCCTTCATCTCGACTGTATCCACAAGAGGCTCAGTGAGGGCAGTTTCCTTCATGGGGCTGTAATCAAAGCCATAGACGTTGTCCCAGACTATTTCTGATTAGCGGCGATCTGGGATTGACGGAATGGGTTCTCTCACATCCAATCTTATCATCCTTGTACTCGCCGTCTTCAATGGCTGCCAAGTACATGGTAGCCTTGTCGGGGAAGATCTTGCCACCGGGGACGAGGTAGCGGTCGCGGGCATAGAGGACAGTGTCCAGCATAGACTCGTAGAGAAGGAAGTAGCCCATCCACTCGGAGATGATAATGTCAACCTTGGGGTAGGGCAGGACAACCTCCTCCATCTTTCCCTGTAGGAGGGTGATCTTGCTGGTCAGGCCGTTGACCTCAACGATCTCACGGGCCTTCTCGATGATCGAGGACATATCAACACCCATCACATGCTTAGCACCGGCCTTGGCAGCAAACCTAAGAAGCCAACAACATCAGTATCCAGTTATAGGCTTGTAACAGATTCGGGCACCAACATGCTAAGGATACCGGTACCGCAGCCCACATCGAGAACAACCTTGTCCTTGAAAATGTGGCGGTTCTGGTAAATGGAGTCGCGGTAAGATCTGGTGCGGACATCGTCTTTCTGTTTAGAAGAAGATATTAGTAGGCTATTGCAATGTGCTGTGTGCGGCGGACTTACAAGCATCTCCTCGTGAATGCCTGAGCGGGGTTTGACGTTAGCCATCTCCGACGCTAAGTAAAGTTCTGTGCTTGAGATTATTTACCATGGTGATCATAACTAGACACAATTAGCACAATATCAAGGTCAGTCACTGGGATAAGACGTACCTCGTGAAATAACGAACTTCAGCATGGTCCATGCCAACCATGCGATCAGCACTGCTGGACTGTTGTTTCTCGACTCCGGCCATGATTGCAAATCTGTCGGTTGCTTATGGGTGAAATAGAGTAGAGAGATTCTTTGCAATGTATCGCGGACCCACGAACCTAGATCACAGGCGAAATGAGAAGAAAAAATCAACAAATTTAGCTGATGATAAAACAATATGCAGAAGTGAAAAAGTACAAAGCGCTTCAGCGAACACTTCGAGCGGCCGCCTTTTTTTTTGGCCTTTGCCCTCATTGGGAATTTCTCCTCTGGAAGGCAACATACGCTAAGGCTCAATAAGGTTAGACTCTTGACAAGATAGACTATGCTGAATACAGTCTATCAGCATGTGACTTTATATAGCCCTAAATATTGATTAGGGCTATGAACAGATGATAAATGACTTGAACCATTGGGAATCGGACAGAAGGCCTTCAGCACTGTATCTCGGTCTGCCAATCAAATTTAGATATGGATAACTCAATTGAGCCATGGTAGCAACTGAAATGCAATTGTGATTCTTCAGAGCAGTTTTCTATTGTACTTGGCGATCCTACTGTAGTACAAACATAAACTTTTTGGCCAGTTTTTTTTTAAATTCCAAAGACCAAGTAATGTGCTGCGGTCAATTTTCGTGGCTACGGGAACAGCCCATCATCACCCTAAGCAAAAGTTAAAGATACAAGTGCTCCATCTCAAGTATGATTCTTCGGTGATTTATTGTGACTTAAATATTGAGGATCCATTCTTCGATCATGCTTCCATGCTATTTCTAGACCTAGGACCGGAAATGCCGAGCTCCCTATTTATTGCCGCGCGAAGCCACTCCGCCCCCGCTGCTGCCACGCGCCGCCTAGCTTCTTCTAAGGGTCTACCTCTCTGAACTCACCTTTCTGCCGGTTGTGCTACAAGAGCTCAGAGATCACTATGTTTCTAGGCTCAACCAGAAGAAAGCTTTATTGCTGCTTTCTGCTCCTCTTCTTTGCTTCTCTCATTGGCAAATCGGCAGCGTCTCTGGGCGATCACCTCCCTGATTTCAAGGAATGTGTTAAGGTACATGAACCAAACTGGCTAGAGCTGTGCAGATGCAATGCGATAACTAATCTAAGAGCAGGTCTGCAAGGCTGAAAACTGTCATGATGGCAACTCGGTGATCCGTAAGCTTCACACAAATCTGCCGACCATATTTTCCCGACTAATTCGTTACTAGCTCTCCATCTTCGTCTCATGCTGTGGACGTGTCCTTCCGAGTGCGATTATACCTGCCAACATGTCGTGACAGATCGCCGGGTCGCTCGCGATCCTCCGATGTTAAATCCAGTACTACAATTTCACGGGAAATGGCCGTTTCGCAGAATCCTCGGCATGCAGGAGCCCTTTTCTGTCCTTTTCTCCCTCCTCAACTTTCTCGCCCACTGGCACGGAATGGGTAACATCCGAGAAACCATTCCATCGTGGCACTCACTCAAGCCGTACTATATGGCTTTCGGATATTGCGGATTAGCATGCTGGACATTCAGTGCCTTGTTTCACACACGAGACCTCCCATTGACCGAAAAGCTGGATTACTTTGGGGCTGGAGCTAACGTGATGTATGGCTTGTACCTTGCGATCATTCGGATATTCCGTCTAGATGGAGAGGAGCCTCGCCATAAGCCGACTTTGCGCCGTCTCTGGACAACGATCTGCATCTTTCTTTACACTTTGCACGTCTGCTACCTGAGCTTCTGGTCTTGGGACTACACCTACAACATGATTGCCAATATCGTAATAGGGATGGCTCAGAATATTTTGTGGGTATCCTTCAGCATTTATCGTTATAGGAAATATGGTAAAGCTTGGATGACCTGGCCCGCGTTGATTGTGGTCTGGATAATATTGGCGATGAGCCTGGAGCTGCTTGACTTTCCCCCTTGGAATGAGCTCATTGACGCGCATAGCTTATGGCACCTTGGGACCGTGATTCCCACAGCGTGGTGGTACTTGTGAGTTGTCCCGAGCCCCCTATATTCAAGTCCTTGAAGTGCTGGTTACTGAGATACTGACTTCTCTGGGCCCTAGTTTCCTTACCAAAGACATCCAGAATGATGTGGCAGGGGAGAGACTCAAGCTCTAAGCTGGCTTGCGGAGACGGCTTTACATGCTGCAGAAAGACTCGGCTCCGCTTGGTGCCAGTAGCAGTCAGGTTTTGAAATGGTCCTGGTGATCTCAAACAGTCTGAATGATATGTAGTAATGTTTGGTAGAATGTTCAACGATCTTGAGGCTGCTACTTAGTAGAAACCTACTACGTGGACATAAGTATCTCTAGGTAGCTTTCTGGTTGTGCCTCTAATTTCCGCTTTTTGCCCTGTTCCAACTTCCTTCCCGTGTCCCTCGGCTGGGCGGGTTGGTCCAAACCACGCCATCGGTGAGCGGCTCACCGCTTGGGCGCATTGTGGGCAGTACAGGGAAAGCTAGTAGTAGCCTGAGCTGGCCCCGGTTTTATGTCTCACCCACTCATCCCTCCACGCTGCCCTTCCTCTTTTTTGTGATATTTCTCCCCTTTTCGTCTGGCACTACACCTGCTTCACAATAGTGCTGTCTGCTTCAAAGCCCTGAGCCGCCGTTTGCCACAAGATCTGCCGCCGTCCCCTCATTTCCACCTAGTTCGCGCCACAATGGCGTCTCCGGCTGTCAAGAAAGCAATCGCTGAAGCGGCTGCTCAGTACGCAAAGCCAGAAGGGAGGATCTTCCAATATGGTACTGCAGGAGTAAGTTTCTACGTGTTGTCGAAAACTTTGACTCTGCAACAATCTGACTGACTATTTTGCCCGCAGTTCCGTATGAAGGCGTAAGTCAAGCTGCTCAATCAACAACCTGAACGATCAACCCCGCCTCCACAATACCCCGCGATC